TAAACAAATACTCCCTGGAAAAAATGAATCATAATGCTGCAGTTCAGAGAATGAGAAATAGCAATTTGATCCAAAAGTCATATTATGATAAAGGGTCAAAATCTCTCCCCAAGTTAAATGTATGTGATTCGTGCAAAATTCAAAAATGTAAAACATGCGAACCAGCCATAATCATCGCAATTCACGGTGTCAGGTCATAAGTGCAGAAAATGAGGATAACGAAATAGGCGTTTTCTCAACGACAAAAAAAACGGGAAAACTATGCAAACTTTGCAGTATCATTTGTTCCAGGTATAACCCATTTTGAGCAAAACATTCATCACAGGTAATTGCAAAAAATAATGCAACATCCCATTCGCAGTCTAAATGTCTGGAAGTAATTACTTCTGCCGTTCCCACGCTCTGTACCCCAGATAAAAATTCTTATAACGCACGCAGTGGCCGGGAAGTAAAACCTCATAGGTTGTACTGGGAGAAGCAACGGTTAAGAAAAAAAAACTGATGCATGAAAGATAATATTCATGGAGATATTTAATGCTCGAAAATTTTGATGAAAACAATAGATTGTTAAAAAAATAAAATTACAGATGAAGTATTTAGTATTTATATGATGATGAACAATTTTATTTTTATTTTTAAAAGAGGGGAGATGTACGAGTAGTAATATCAGCTGTCAGCTATATCATAAAAAATGCACATTGCGCATGCTCAAGCCAGTCTCAATGTTAGGAATTTTAGGAGCATAAATTTACATTTTGTAAAGTATACACGTGTTTGTGTTATATCACTATTTTGTGAAGTCTACTTGATTTTTAAAGTCCCAAAATCAAAACAAAGTTAATTTGCGATAATGCTTGACACACGTTATACAAAAAACACACGGCAAAGCAAAGTTCAAGGACTTAATTGACGATCTTAAATGGAATTTTAAAGTTAAATAAAATATATAACATTTCTATTTCTCGAGGCGTGCACGTCGCGGAGAATGCATACGACAGGTCAAGATCAAGTCACCTCAAGAATAAGAGACGGTTGGTTGACCTGTCGTGACTAACTCAAGAGGGTAGCGCTAACAAGAACTGTTTCCTTTACAATGTTAATACCCTGGCAGTATTGTCGTCCCTCCACCAACCACTTACGAACGAAGAATAGGGTACGGAAGATTCGGCTTGAAAGACATTATAAAGATATATGTCTTAATATGTTTTCTGAAGATGGAAACAATGTCAAGTGTGTTTGTTTGTTTGTTTGTTTGTTTGTTTGTTTGTTTGTTTGTTTGTTTATCAAACAATAATTATATGAAGCATATTTAACATTGTAAATTAAAGAATTTATGCATAGCTTGGATAAAGTGAACGTAACAATAACATAGCATAAGGTTCAAAATGCACATATTTACTATTCAACTTTACCCTCTAAATTCCAGCAATATGTATGCTATTTTATACAAGTTTGATTCGATTACCTATATAATGCAATGCTCAAATTAACCACACAAAAGTCAAAATTGAGATCATAACTGTTTAGTTCCTACATACTCGTATATTCTAATTGTTTTACAAGTTTTATATGCTTATTTTAAAGTGATAAAGAAGAAACTTTAAAAAGAAATTGTAAATCATTTATTTACACTATAGAGATTTTGATCCAAACTAGCACTGTAGTTTTACCATTTTATAACTTATAAGTTTCATTACAGTCTTGCAAAAATTAAAAATGAAGGTGTTTCTTCTTCCCCACTTACTATAACAATTGCCTTCTTCCCAAAATATTATTCTCAAAATTGTGGTATGTACAAATATCATCTCAAAATTATTAAATACTCATTATGTATGAAGACCTGTTACTGTCAACATTTACATCATTGAATAATTCAAAATTAAATCTTTACATTTGAAAACAATTGAATAAAGCTTACTTTTATATACTGATAAAGAAAGAAAATTATAAGAAGAAGTTTCTTACCTAAATACTTTCCAAACCCTATTTTAGTTTGGTTGGGAAGGGAAGACAAATTTTTATTGTTTGCCTTATTGAAAATAATGAAATGTTGAATCATGGAGCTTTATACATGTATTACTCTATAATAAAAGTCTCTGTTTGAATTCAGGGTTTACGTAACAACAATTAAGATGACTTAATCTACTCTAACATTTAGTCAAAGATAAACTGTTCAAATTTGATGGAATTAAAAGTAAAAGAGTAGAAAGGTAAACACTTTTCAATATTACTGATCAGTTGTTGTTCTAGAATAATGGAAAGGGCAATTGGTTTTCAGCACTTTTAGTCCTTGTTAGTATAAAAAAGAATAATATAATATATGGTTATCATCTGACAATATCATATTCTATCTTAATGATATGATAATATATGCTATGATGATAAACACTTACTACTTAAAATTTGACCATTGCCAGTGTAAATCCAGTTAGTTAACATTGTATAACCATTGCATGTCTCACATATTTTCTGGTTTCCAGTTGATCATGTCAGTTTATCACTTAACTACCAACAATTTTCACATTGTAATACCACATTTGACAATTTATTTTCTGGCATGAAACAGGCTTCAAGCAAAAATACATATGAGCCAAGCCACGACAAAATCAACGTAGTGCGTTTGCGACCAGCATGGATCCAGACCAGCCTGTGCATCCGCGCAGTCTGATCAGGATCCACCAACCCTATTACAAGTAGAGAAACTGATAGCGAACAGCATGGATCCTGATCAGACTGCGCGGATGCTGGTCGCAAACGCACTATGTTGGTTTTGTCGTGACACGGCTCATATAAATAAACATGAGATATTGATTTGAATGGTTTTTAATTAGATATTTAAGATAAGATTTAAACTGACAATACAAAACACTAACAAATAGTCAACCAAGATACCGAGAGAAGACGGCTTTTTGAACAAATCAGTGTGGAGCCAGTGGTGTCAGATTTTTGAAATCATCTGACCATTATGGTTTATTTTTAAACAGCACTTAATTATAGATACTTGTAACTGCTAATTGCTTTTTGCTTAATGGCAAATTTGAAGCCAGACAAATAATGTAAAAATATTTATTTTAAGATTTAAAATTTCTTAGTCACAATCAAGTCACTTATATTAACAAGAGCGATCAGTGACCAAATGTGTCGCCTCATGATAGCCATTACTCGGCCAAAAGTTATTCAACCTAGCACCTGTGTAATATACACAAGAACTTGAGCTACTGATCAATCCTGTAAAGTTTCATTAAAACTGCATTAGTGGTATAAGAGGAGTAGTCCGGACAAATTTTTATAATTGAAAATTTTGAAGGGCCATAAGTGAAAAATGTTGATAAGATGCACAACTAGCGTGTTATTGATCATTCCTGTACTGTTTTGGTGAAATTGCACCAGTAGTTCCATACAAGCTTCTCTGTAGCTGGAGTCAGTTACCTGTCGGCTATATGGACAACGCCATCTTTGTACTCGAAATCATGAAATTTATTTACTCAGTATTGGTTTTCCAGGGTTAAAATTAGAAATCATATCGCTTTCAAAATTATGAAAGCTCGCCGATAATTAGCTGTAAGAATAGTCACCAGAAATAATTTCGTATATGGCCACGCTCAGGTCTAATAGCGGGGCGTTTTTAGAGCTGATTTTAATCATATTGCAGTAAAAGCGTTCTAAAAAATCAAAGCACAGAAGGCGCTGAATTTGTTTGGGTCTCAGAATGTCAGAAAGGTGATGGTTGTGAGATTAAATACCATTTTGTTTTTGTTTAGCGCCACCAATGCTTTCCAGTGTTTTAACTGTAGTAAATTGGCTATAAGACTAATGAGGGACATTAGTGAATAACATCCCCTGAGTACTCCCTATAAATAGATAGGTCCTAAGCTTTTGGATTACTCGGACTTTATCGCCTATTTCTTTGTAGCAAACTAAATTAATTAGGGCTAATTATGATCATTTGTAATAATCAGATTAAATATTGCGATAAGATGTAGAATTTGTTGACATAAATAAAACATTTTTTTCTTAAGGTTTACATATTTGTTGATGCATGTGGTGATAATTGATTAAGACATATCAACCTGTCTTACATAAATCTCAACGATAAAAGCAAAGGATTCCAAATATTTGGACCTACTTACATTTTGGAAAACCATATTATTCTAAATTAGGGTTTGTAACTCTTATTATTTCGACGCTAAACACAGATGTAAATAATCATGGAGCTTACTGTAAGCATGTATATCTATAAAGAATTAAAAAATATTGGAAATCTTCGGCCATTCGGGAACTACTTTGCTTGAAAATTAATGCGCCTGTCATTTGACAATTTTACGCATTGATATCCCCTGAATGTTTCGGCGTTAGTGTACATATAAAGGGAAGTAACCGCTTCAAAAAGGTGGACTACTTTAGGCATTTGCAATTAACAGCATTAGGCTCTGAAATTTCGCTACCATTATTTGTTTGGTCTGACGACCCAAACAAATAAATAAAGCGCCGTAAAAGCGCCGTACACACGCAGTATCAGCGCGGTAGAGATGCCACACCATCCCCGTACAAGAGCATTGGCTAATGACGGCGTTCATTCGGCGATCCTTCTGCGCTTCACGGCGCTCCTGTTGCGTTGTAGGAGATGCTACTGAGTTGCTGCAACGTTCTTACTGCGATCCCACGGCGCTCTTATCAGAACGCCCATCAACGACGTTTGTCTTGAGCATGCTAAAATGCGCGCCGTAGTGTGACAAGGGGTTTAAATGAGTAAAGCTGGCGATTCATTCCCCGATCTTCTACTTTTTAGAAACGACCGTCACTGACGGGTTATAAATAGCCCTTAGGACACTGAACTATGAAGAGGCTTTGTAGTGATATGATGCACTTTTGTCAAAGCTAAAAATTACTGAAATACTCAGTTTGAAACAACACAGAATTGTTTTTACAACAGAAAATAAAAGCTGATGGCCGTTTAAATGTAACATATATTGTCTTTGATTTTTCCTCCTTTTTTACAGACGGTTGGAAGCTGTAGTTCAAGGCCGTGTAAAGCGAACCAAAGATGTCATCAAAAAGGTGCCTCACATGTCTGCAAATGTACGAAAATCCTCTTAATTATCTGTGTAGTAATTACTAGTTTTGATTTTTGATGTATGTTTTTTGTTGTTGTTTTTGTAACTCTTATAGATATTTCAGATGAAAAAAAAAGCAATAACAAACTTAAATTTCCTTTATTTTGTCACTTGTCACATATGTAAGTTTAGAATAGCCCAAGCCCTTTACATGTACAAAATAGAAATATTTCAAAACGGCAAATTTGAAAGCCTTGAAGAGCCGGTTCGATTGAGCATGTTCATGGACAAAAGTTGTAGTTGCTAGCTATCATCTTACACACCCCTTATAACCGATGTCAAGTGTATAAATATCTTTATCACTTACATGTATATAGAATTATAAAATTATATGGGAAAATTGACTTTCTGTAATCATTTATTTGTAATTCTTTTTCAATTACTTGTTTGTTTATTCTGCACAATAACGCCTTTAAAAGTGCATTGTAAAATTGTGTTCTTGTTTATTTGGTTTTTTCTTCTTTTCTATTTTTATTGTTGTTGTTTCTTAAGTGTTGTTGTTGGTGGTGGTGGCGGTGGTTGTTGTTGTTTTTTGTGTTCTTTCTTTCTTTGATTTATCAGCGATTATCATGAACACTTTTTAAGATAATTCCGTACTTTTTCATAAAAAGCGGCGTCATATCTAAAGAATTTAACGAACACGTGTGTCCTAAAAGAGAAAAGCAATGGTAAGAACTAAATAAAGTTAAGTTTCCGTGATAACCGCCATATTCACACATCTGCGAGTGTTAGTAAGTTCATAATTTACCATTACTATATTGTAATGTAATGTTGAATTCTGCTTAAGCCGGCATAAGGGAGGGGGCGTCACAGTAACTTTCAATTTCCAGGACTGCCCATGAACAGGCCCATTGAAACCCACCCTGCAACATTTTAAATTTTGCCGTTTTTACTTACATCTCTCTATTTTGAGTAACCTACAGCAATATGATGTTCTATTATATCAGTTTATGTAATTTTTCTTGAGTCATCTGTAAAAATAATTTTGTATCTATAGAAAACTCCTTCAATGCTTCTAATTGTCCTTAGCATGAATTTAATATTGATTATATTAGAATGAAGATATAAGTATGAATTATATAAGTATGAATTATATAAGAGTGAATTATATATAAGTATGAATTATATAAGTGTGCATTATATAAGAGTGAATTATATCAGTATGAATTATATAAATATGAATTATATAAGTATGAATTATATAAGTATGAATTATATAAGTATGAATTATATAAATGTGAATTATATAAGTATGAATTATATAAGTATGAATTATATAAATGTGAATTATATAAGTATGAATTATATAAGTATGAATTATATAAGTATGAATTATATAAGTATGAATTAAATAAGTGTGAATTATATAAGTATGAATTATATAAGTATGAATTATATAGATATACATTCTATTTTTTTAATGATATAAGCAGATTAGATTATCGTAAATGAGTATAGCATGCGTAATATAAGTATGAATTTTATTTACATTAATTTTTTTAATATGAATTATATAGCATGAAATATATAAGCATGGATAATATAAGCATTAATTATATGTTTTATAATAATATAAGTATGAATTTTATTCACATTAATTGTATTTATGTGAAAAATATAAACAAGAATCATGAAGTACAAATCATATAATTATGCATTATATAAGTATGAATTTTATTAGAATGAATTATATTGGCATGAATTATATAAGCATGAAATATATAAGCATGAAAAATATAAGTATGCATTATATGTATATAATAATATAAGTATGAATTATATAAGTATGAATTATATAAGTATGAATTATATAAGCATGAAATATATAAGTATAAATTATATGTGAATTATATTAGTGTGAATTATATAAGTATGAATTATAGAAGCATGAAATATATAAGTATAAATTATATGTATATAATAATATAAGTATGAATTTTATAGAGGATATTTGTTTGTTTCAGTGTAAGATCGAAAAATATTTCACCGAGTGAACACCAGATGCAATATTTTCCACGAGTGGCGTAGCCACGAGTGAAAATATAATAGCTGGGGTTCACGAGTGAAATATTATTTGATCTTACATGTAAAACAAACAAATTTTCTGTTTATTTCATGATTTTTTAAC